CCCCCAAAGAGCACAGACCTGCCCTGGCACAGCAATACCCGTAGACCGGTTGCCCCGTGACTCTCTGGCTCAAATGAACTCAGTTTCTGCCTCAAATCTCTAACCCTATTCTTCAATTTCCCTACCTGTAAAATAAGGATAGTGCTTAGGGTCCCAATTTTGTAGGGGCAGTTCTGATTTTTTTTTCTTCTATAGGTGCCTACTTTACCTTCCCTCTTTCTCCTACCTCCCCCTCCCCATTCTTTGTCACAATTTTTCACATTTTCTGTCTAGTCACCCTCCTAGCACTCCCCAACCCTCAGGAGCATGAGGAGACTTCATGCTTATAAAGTTCTTTAAGACTCTCAAGTGGAAAGCCTTGAATAAGTAACATGAACGATTATTTTTAAGCTTTTCCAGTTTTCATCAGCTTTTCCACCAGAGGTGCTCCTGAGCAACTTACCTATGCTAGTTTCAGCCTTGACTGCAAATGTAAAAGCAATAGTGTCTGCTTTATAAAGAACAAGAGATTTAGTGGCAATGCATGCCATCTCATCCAATGAGACAACTAGTGCATAAGTAAAAAGGTGAGCTTTGATAACTATATCTTTAAAAAAAAACAGCAAGCAAATGGTCTGGTAGCACTTTATAGACTAACAAAACATGTAGATTAGTGACAGAGATGCAGCTGTGTTAGTCTGGTGTAGCTGAAACAAAAGAGAGAACTATGTAGCACTTTAAAGACTAACAAGATGGTTTATTAAGTGATGAGCTTTTGTGGGCCAGACCCACTTCCTCAGATGACCAGAGTTATCTTTACAAACTTTTCTGAGGGCGGGTTGTAGTTTTACCATGGAATCGGTTTTTCTGAAAGTGTTATCAAAAGCAGATACCATCTCAGATTATCTATGGTTTAGAATTGTTCTGGGTCTTCGAAGCATTGTATGCAGTCACTGCATCTTTGCCATGTGTCTGTGAGAGTTTGGCCAAGTTGGGATACTAAACTTAAGATACCATGTTGTCCACTAAGAAATGACAGAGGCTACTGCATTTAGATTGTAAGTTCTTTATGGTAGGGACTATCTTTTATGTTCCAGGTCCATACACAGCGTGGGGTGCAAAGGGTGTGACTGTACCCCTCCCCTTCCCCCCCCCCAACATCCTTCATGGTCCACAATGGGGCCAATTCCAGCTGGTCTGGGAAAGGCAGAGGCAGTGTGCTGCCAGCCTCCCTCCCCTGTGCTGGGGCTGATTTCCCTGAAACTCCCTTCCCACGGCTGGGGGATTCCTGGGGCTGATTTTCCCCCCTTCTTCCCCCAGGACAGAGGCCGGAGGTGGGGTGGGGCAGTGGGGGCACAGCTAGGGAGCAGAGCAGCCACCAGCCCTTCCCCCACAGCTCACCCCCCCCCCAGCAGAAATTCCTGCATATGGGCCTGTGTTCGGTTTTTTGTACAGTGCCTGCTACAATAGGTTTCTGGTCAATGGGTAGGACTCTTTGGTGCTAAGGTAAATGCTAATAAAAATTGGATGTGGACTGTCCTAGTTTGGAATGTTAGTGACTTCAGGTTTTTAAAAGAAAATCCAGTTTTCCAGAATCTGAATATGACTGTTGGCCCTGTTGTTAGCTTTCTGGTTTTGGTGGGTTTTTTTAGAGGGAGGGAAAACAGTGATTGATTCCACAAGGGGAGGAGAATTTCTGCTCTAATGCTCTTTTCATATTTCTTCCTGACAGCGATCAGAAGCAGCAACAGGAGAAATGGAGATGCAGTCGTATTACACCAAGCTCTTGGGAGAGCTCAATGAACAGCGGAAGAGGGACTTCTTTTGTGACTGCAGCATTATTGTGGAAGGCAGGATCTTCAAAGCTCACAAGAACATTCTGTTTGCCAATAGTGGCTACTTCAGAGCCTTATTGATTCATTACATTCAAGACAGTGGGCGACACAGCACTGCTTCTTTGGACATTGTGACTTCAGAGGCTTTCTCCATCATCCTAGATTTCCTTTATTCAGGGAAGCTGGATCTTTGTGGGGAAAATGTTATTGAAGTCATGTCCGCAGCTAGCTACTTGCAGATGACTGATGTGGTCAATTTTTGCAAAACATACATCAGGTCATCGCTAGATATTTGCAGAAAAATTGAGCGAGAAGCTGCCTTCTATCAGGCTGATAGCGGAAGCTCTAGTTCTGCCAGAGAGGGCACTTCTTATGGTACGAAGAGCCACTGCTCTGCCTCTGTCTCTTCTCTGCAAGAAAAGGAAAGGATTTCAGATTGTCAGCGAGATCCTCCCTGTGGTGAATGCAGCAGCTGCCACCCTATAGAATTGGTGGTGAGAGACCCTGTAAGCAGTGACTCTCCAGATGACCTCAATTCTTCTCTGCCCAAAGGTGTAATAGAACCCAAAGTAGAATTTGACTCTGATGAAGTGGAAGTAGAAGTGGGTGAACGACTACAGCAATATCCAACTCCGTTAACCCTTGAGCAGATGGAAGAAGGACTGCACAGCGGCCAAGCCATGGACTTGGCCTGCAATAACTATCATATGAAGCAGTTCCTGGAGGCCCTGCTACGCAACAGTGCCGCTCAAAGAAAAGACGATGTGGTTCATCACTTTGTTCGGGGCTTTGAGGGTAGGCCGGAAGATGCAGGGGTGGCCATGAGTTCTATGATGGACATTCCCAGCGACTGGTATGGTGAGGATACAGGTGAGAGGAGTAGCGACTGTATGTAGAACAATTGAGGAAACTGCTTATGTGTATAACTTTCTATGTTAATTGAATGGTTATTCTCATTCTTGTTCAGTATACATCACAGGAAAATGTTGCTGAATTGTATGCAACAGCAAAATAAGCTATTGTTCTGGACTTCAAAAGAAAGCTGCACTCATTTTGCTCAGTGCAGCATTTGCAGGGTAAGTATTTCTGATCTACACACTTGTATTTGAAATTAGACATTTTTGGAGTCTAATGTCAGTGACCATCAAATAGTAACATAATTTGGGATCACACTGGAATAAAGGATGAATATAAGAAAAGCTTTACCTCTTATCACTGTCAGTATTGGGAAGAAGAGTTGTTGTCAGAAAGACATACTGATAGCCCCATGGTGGTTGTGCTATGAAAACTGAGAGGCAGAATATTAACAACGCTGCATACTTTCCCTCTAGAAGCAGACTTCCTTCTCCATTGCTGATCTTCAGGGCAGCTGCTTTCACTAGCACAAATGCATGCTGGGATTTCTCAGCACCAGCAGGAAGGCTATGTGGCAGCACCTTCAGGGACCTGAAGAAGAAAGAGCTCATGTAAATATACACGTTTCCTAAAATGGCAGTTAACATTTTTGGGTCTTCATCTGCTTGTAATAAAGTTGGAGGACTATTTCTTTTCCCAAGCACTGTCACTGTTTACCTTTTTAAAAACTGTCTTTAAGGTGGGATCTACTCCTTGCCTGAAGAACACCTCAGTTCTCATAGTCATTCATAAAGCACCAAGTTTAAAAAAAAGATGCAGGCAACAGGAATTATTCACAAACATCCTGTATGTATGCTATAGAAAGTAAAGTTAAGTTTATTCCATCACTAGCTCAAACACGCAAGTTGCTTGGAATTCATCAGGTCCATGAGAAACTTTCACAGTTAGTGAATCAGTATTTATCTGATAAAATCATGAACTATTAATCATTCAGTTGGCATAACTGAAATAATGTTTATTAGCAGTATTCTGTTACACTAACAGCTACTGCTTCCAAAATGCTGTGGCAAAGCAGACATCTAAGAGAATAACATGATGTTCCATAGATGTTTTTTTAAATAAAACTTTCAGATTAATCTAGCGTTATACTTAAAAATGCACATAAAATCTGATAAAAATCATCAATAATTAACAATGTGCTAAACTTTAACACTAGAAATATGTATTTTAAACTTGCATTCACAGTTCTTCGCTTTTTTGCAAGAATTGACGTCACTGGCACCTAAAGTAGAATATGAAACTATTCTTCATGCTGGTTTTAGTGCTTGTGATGTATTCAGTTCTTCGAGACTCAGAATGCTGAACTCAGGTCCTGATAGCTAAAGTTACGGAGTCCGGTCTAGATATGTGTATGTATATCACGTGGATTATTAGGATATTCCTGGTTTTTATATTTATTGAAGATTTTAGTTAACTTTGAGGCTCCACTATAGCAAAGGACTATGTGTATGTATAACTTAAGTGCATGATTAAAGTCCTATTGACTTCAGTGGAACGCCTGATGGTTTAACATCAAGGGTGTTTAAAGTGCTTTCCTGAATTCACATGTAAAGCAATGCACACTTTTTAGTCTCTTAACATCTCTTAACACCTAATCCTAGTTATTACAAAGGATATCTCTTGTCCGTCATGTTTTGGCTACTATCAAGAAGCTCAGTCATGCTAAAACTTAATGTAATCTTCAAATACAATTCTCAGTGTTCGCATCTTCTCTCATGAATTTGATCAATATTTAAATGGATATGTATATTCTCAGTATTGGAGTATTTTGTCTTTTGTTAGTCCCAGTAGAAAGACTTCTAAGACTTGAAGGAGGACAGAGGCATACATTACCTCTTAAAAATGGTCCTATGTCTAAGTTGAGTCACATTACTGTGGCATATTGGAAAACTTGCACTGCTACTGCCCTGTGAAGTACCTTTTCTGTAGCTAAATTGAAGACTTTAGTTTCTAGTGCTGTTAATGACACCTTTTTCAAAAATAAATGTAGAAGATAACAAGATACTTTCAGTGGTTTGCTTGTTGAGTGTTATCTTGCAAACACACCAAAGCAAAAACCAGTTTGGCGATTTATTACATGTTTCTAAAATTGCCTGATTTTCAAGTGCTAGGCACCTGCGGCTCCATCAGCTTTTAAAACAGAGGCCATAAAAATTAAAAATAATATCCAAATGAGTCAACTACAAAGTGGAAAAAATACATGAGTATTCTCGCTCTACCTTACAGGCAAAGATCATCATAAGCAACCCAACTAACTTTTTATTTGTCTAAAATATATTGTTTTCTTTTTAAAAGGTGATGTGTTAGTAAAACGGCACATTCGCTCTCATACAGGCGAGAGACCCTACCCTTGTGAGACATGTGGCAAACGCTTCACCCGGCAGGAGCACCTTCGGAGTCATGCTCTGAGTGTAAGTTTGATGAAAGCAGACATCTGTTGGAAGCAGGGTTGAAAATAAATAGTAAGCTTCTGTGGTCAGTGTTTTTCAGTTGTTATACTGGTCTATGTGAAGAATGTATACGTATCACATTTTTTATTTAAGGCTGTTGTAAAGGACAGTAGAGGATAGAATGATTCTGCTCCCAATATGTAAGGCCAACTGGGCAAAGATTAAGACTAAGAAATTGACGTTTAATGCAATACAACTATCTTAGTCCAAAACAAAACCTTTGTTCTTAGAAAGGTGATGTGATCATTTGCCCTGCCTGTTTGGTAAATGGTGTTGTGTGTTTCACATTGGAATATATGGAAGCAGCATCCCCCAAAAGGCCTAAAGCAATAAGATAGGCCAACCAGTTTACAATGATGTTTTATTTCTCTTTGATCAGGTGCACCGATCAAACAAGCCAATTATCTGCAAGGGTTGCAGAAGAACGTTCACAAGTAGCCTATCACAGGGATTAAGACGCTTTGGCTTGTGCGACAGCTGCACTTGTGTAACAACTACTCACGAGGATTCAATGCCCATTAACCTCAGTCTGATGGAACCGTCATCAGAAGGTCAAGAAAAGGGTGATACAGACAATGATTGGCCTATATACGTGGAATCTGGTGAAGAAAATGATCCAGCCGATGACGATGATACCGATGATAAGCAGGAGATCCACAGAAGCTTATCAGACCGAGAGGCACTTATGTAGCAACAAAAGGAGGGTGGGTGGATTTAAAGTGTCTCCCCTGTGATTGGTCATTCTACAGCAGAAAACTTCATATTTAACCAGTTTTGTGGAACTGTGTATTTTTATTACTAAACTCCCATTTTGATAGAACAGGTGAGAAGAACTGGATTTTGGAATGTTCACTTTTTTTTGTAACTGTTTAGTGCTGTGCACTAGAATTCTGAGGGAATTTCTTGTCCTGGGTGAGCAGAGACTGTCTCCTGTTGTGCTTCTGTACCCTGGCTATGTGGGAAGGATAACACTCTTTGCAGGTGAAGAATCCCCGTAACGATTTGGTACTGAGTTTCCTCCCGCAAGGCTGCCATGGTCCATCAAACCTGGTCTGAAGGGGGCACCATCATCTTTCTAGAAAGAGATGTGGAGAAAATAAATGTAGTTTTCATCCTTAATCTTGGACTTCTCTAAACTATTTTGCAGTCTCATCCCTGTTAATGCTAGGAAAGTCTTATCTGAAACTGTAAATCCTAACTGTTTGTTTAATCGTAAAGATTTAGAATAGGATTTGACCTGAAAGCCCGAGTAAACTACCTGAATAACAAATATGTTAGAGGGAAGTATATTCAGTAGAGAATCTTCAAACACATGCTTATTCATATGTGTACTTAAAGAGCAAGCTTTATTTTGGGGGCAGTTTTCATTGCATTTCCATTCCTGGAGAACAACCGAGCTTGGGCTATGACTGTCTATCTTTATTGCCCATTAGACAGTAGTCCAGGCCTGAGATCTACACAGAACACTTGTTATGTGATCTAGTAAAATAGTGTGTCCAGAGTGCACCAGTTTTTGAAGCAAGACTAAGTGCATTGCCCACCTCTTTAACCATTTAAAGTAGAAGTTATAGCCTAGCAGTCTAGAAAAGTGATTTCTGTGGGAATTCCATTGATAGTAGACTAAACAGCCAGATTTACTGCTGATCTAGCTGAAGTACAATTCCAAAGAGAAATCTGGGCTACGTATATAAAACCACCTTAGCAAACTATTTTTGAAGTCAAGTGAGAAGCCTTGTAAAATTAGAGACTCACTGGATGCAAACCTTCTCTTTTCCTAATGTGATTTTTTTTTTATCTTATGTAGTCAAATATAGTCCTTGGTGATTCCTGTGATGGTTTGTACCCTTTCATTGTCTTATGAATTCATCCAGGTACTGCCTCTTGTTTAAAATTCTAGCTTGGACCCTGCATTTTCCTTGTTGGATAGATACAAATTGGTTTCTGAAGGAACTGAGATTATTTATCTGCCCAGTATCAAATTCCTGTACACTATTAGCTGGGAAACTGTAAAGAGCTCTTGGGTAAGATACTGTTAAACTTCAGACTAAAGAAGACCCAATGTGAAAGGATTCTGTGAAGTGGAGGTGCATACTCTAGGTAGATAGCACTTTCTAATTTGTTTGTAAATGTTTAATGAAAAGCTTATTGTATTTGACTTCACTTTCTGGATCCAGTGCTAGAACAGAGGATTGCAGACAGATATCACTGACACAAGAAGATCGTCTCACTTAAAAAAAGACAGTTTTCAATTTTATATTTTTAAAGAAGACTTTACACTGAGCAAACATAAAATGGAACATTTTTATATAAAGAGCAGCTGATTTAACTAGTCATTCTCTGTCCACCTAGTGCTATTAGTTCATAGATTGGATAAGAACATTCTGCCCCATGGGTCAGCTTCTCTATTTGCTTCATCCTTCAGTAAGGCAATAATCCTAGTGTGATATCACAATCTGCTTGTACAGAAGTGATTCTGACATCACACATGCAGCATGATGACTTCATTGCAAGATCAAATTGGAAAGAAAAATGAGGCAAGTCTCTGTTTACCTGTAATGACTAGCAGAGTGGTGGTGGGGAAACCCAAAAGTTAGAGTTGTTTGAAATGTCTCCCCTAAACTTGAAGTTTTATTTAAGTGCTTTCTTTCTAGAAGATACTGTATTTCTTGCTGGATTTATTTTCTGTAATTTAAATTGAGGAGCACAATGCACTACTTTAAAAATAAGCTATTGCATTTGGGTTTTAGCTTATTGCAAAACCTTTCCAATAGTCCTTATTTCATATCGTTTGTAAATTGGAGTTGATGTCTGACCAATAATGTCATAGTTTCATCAACATAGGCAATTAATATTTGGGCCAGATTTTCAAAAGAACTCAGCAGCCCATAGCAGTTTGCTTTTAGGCACCTGATCCAGTTTCAATTTTAGGTTCTAAACACTTTTGAAAATCTGGCTTTTATAGGGTAGTCTTCTAAATCACGTAAGCGCTTCTGAAAATCCTACCTATAATCCCGCAGGGCTGGTCTTTTTGATTACTGCTCTGTTTCTGTCCAGCCACCCCAAGTTCACGATGGTATTCTGACATCTGCTAATCAGATGAGCAAAGGACTCTGTGTAAGAACATTTGAAAAGCAGTCCTCATGCTTGTGACAGCTGAGGACTGAGTTCCATAATGAAGTTGGGGTAAGAATGTAAATAGTGATTCTGAATCTTCATCAGCATGGCACCTTAATCTCTATGGTTGTGCTACCCGAGAGGTGCCACTTCGGTGTAAATACTAGAGGCCACTAGACTTGGATTATTCGTTGGATCTGGTGCTGGGTAGTGTGTTACAATGCACCTTTCTGGTGATTTAGCTTATCAGAGAAACACTGTAAAACGATGTTAAGGCATGTGCTAGTGAACTCTGAAATTGTGAAGACCTTCAGAAGAGGAAAATCAGTGCTCTTGTGAGGGTATATACGCAGTGGATTTAAGAGCTGTGGGAAATACAGCAGTGACCTTCAGCTGTTTTAATTCAGCCTGCTTCATTTGGTTTTAGAAATGTTTCTTGTATGTCTTGTACTTAGAGAATGGAACTGTGTTAAGTTTTGTGTAATGTGGGGGTAAGGGTTGGGGTGGGAGAGAGTTGCATTACAGTTTGAAAGTGACCAGCAAAATTGCAATTTATGTTGATCTGTCATGGCGTGCCACTGTGTCTGTCAATGGGTCCTTAATTCAGCCTCTGTGTTGAGTAGAAAAAGTTATGCTTGATTCAGTTTCCTGTTGACAGATGTTTATGTAGATCTTGTTTGCTAGGCTTCCCACCCAATTCCATGATGTTTCCTTTAAATCTTCCATGTAAATCCAGCCTTTATAAGCTTCGAGAAAGTGACACTACTGTTCTAAATGAATATTCATATGGTGCTGAATGAAAATCCAAAAAAATGTTCTTAGTAGGCTTGTTTCTAATATGATCTTTTCTCTCAAAGTTTTTAAAATTCCACAAACTACATATCTTAAATTTTGAACGCTACATAATTTACATTATTTAGGAATATACCTCTTAATTTATTTGTTTGCACATAATTGCACTGTTTTTCACTAAAGAAATACATGCTGCAATGATAATGGTGCATTGAACTTGTAAATGTTATCTTCCAAAACTGAGTCACTTAATTTGTTTGAAATTTGAACAGTAATTTTATAGCTGAAGTCCTTTAGTTTAGTTTACCTTAATTAACAGATAATCTTATGAGCTGAGCCTTATTTGAACATCTGATTTAACTACATCAGTGGATACTTGGTGGAGTCTGGAATCTACTGACTTTGTGCAGAATTAAACATAAAGTAGTTGATTAGATTAAGGAAACTCCAAGTTAAGGCACTCACATTTTTAATTCCCAAACATTCAATCCATCCACTCCTGGCAAGGGGCACTATGCCAACAAAAATCAAATTAATGGCAAGGAAAGAGCACCCTTTTAATATCAACTTTAAAATCTAGTCAATTTAAAACAAAGGATTGTCAGGTACTACTCCTGATTCTTCAGAATACCTTTTATGCTTTTTACAATCATAGTCTCATTTTCAATTTTTTTAAATTACTTTTCTTTCCCTGGTTGTTGGGAAGGGAGAGAGGTTGGAGGATCCTGCACAACTTTCTAAGGAAACAGTGTAACTGTATTGTCAAATGCACATAATCAACTGAACAAAAATCCTCATGATCTCTTTCTTGATAACCTCTTGGATGTTCCTTGTAACAATAATAGGTTTTTAAAATCCAGATCAAGTAAGATTGTTTAAAAGTGTTTACTGTTACCTGTGTTACTTTGTAACCCCTTTAAGTGCAAATTTAAGAAACCCAGAGGGGGGTCCATGAAATTTTAATAGATTGAAAAGGGATCCATATGCTCAAAAAGGTTGGGAACCACTGATAGAGGCATTATTGTATCTTTTGTCATATCTATCCCTTTCCTAATGACTCCTCATGTTTGGTGTCAAGTATCAGAGGGGTAGCCGTGTTAGTCTGAATCTGCAAAAGCGGTGCCACAGGACTCCTCGCCGCTTTTCCTAATGTTTGATATTTTTAACTGCCACTACACACTGAGTGGACATTTTCAGGGAATTATCCATAATGACTCCCAAGATCTTTAGGTAACAGCTAATTTAGTCCTCCATGTTTTGTATGTATAATTGGGATTATGTTTTCCAAAGTGCATTATTTTCATGTATCAACATTGGATTTCATCTGCCATTTTGTTGCCCAGTCATCCAGTTTTGTGAGATCCCTTTTTTTCACAGTCTGCTTTGGACTTAGTTTGAGTAATTTTGTATTGTCTGCAAACTTTGCCACCTCACTTTTTACCCCTTTTTCCAGATCATTCATAAATACATTGAACAGCACTGTCCCAGGACAGATTTCTGGGGGACACTTCTGTTTACCTCTCTCCATTCTGAAAATTGTCCATTTATGCTTACCCTCTGTTTCCTACCTTTTCACTAGTTACCGAGCCATGAAAGAACCTTCCCTGTTCTCCTTACTTTGCTTAAGAGTCTTTGGTGAAGGACCTTGTCAAAGTCTTTCTGAAACTCTAAATACACTATCGATTGATTCACCCTTGTCCATGTTTGACACCCCTCCCCGAAATAATTCTAATAGATTGGTGAGACATGACTTCCTGTTAGAACAGCCATTTTCATGCTTCCCCCAACAAATTGTGTTTGTGTCTGATAATTCTGTCATTTTACTATTGTTTTAACCACTTTGCCTGATACTTTAGGCTTAGTGGCCTGTAATTGCTAGGATCACCACTGGAGACTTTTTAAAATATTGGTGTCTCATTAGCTATCCTCCAGTCATCTGGAACAGAAGCTGATTTTAAAGGATAGGTTACATACCACAGTTAGTAGTTCTGCAATTTTATGTTTGAGTTCCATCAGAACTCTTGGGTGACTGCCATCTGGTGTCCATGATTTATTACTATTTAATTTACCAGTTTGTTCCACCTCTAATGACCCTTCAATCTGAGACAGTTACTCAGATTTGTCACCTAAGGCTTTGTCTACACTGCAAGTTTTTGCGGCAGAAAATATGCTAATGAGGGACTCATTAGCATGAGTTGTGACATCATTAGCATCTTTTTTTTGCGCAAAAAAAGATGCAGTGTAGCCGCTTCCATTTTGCGCAAAAAAACCTTTTGTGCAAGATCTTTATGCCCCTCCGGGAGTTTTTGTGCAAAATGGAAGCGGCTATACTTAAGGCCAGCCCAGAACATTTTGGCACCTGAGGCAGGGAGTTCAAATGACTCCCACACATGCACCAGCAGACACAATTTTCTACACCCTGGGTCCTAGTGGTGCCCCCCCCCCCACACACACAATCTGGCACCTGAGGCGGCTGCCTCAGTTTGCCTCATGGTAAGGCCAGCCCTGGCTACACTGCTTCTTTTTTTGTGCCAAAACCCCTTGTGCAAAAAGAATTGGCAGAAAATATGCTAATGTTGTGACTCATGCTAATGAGTTCCTCATTAGCATATTTTCTGCAGCAAAAACTTGCAGTGTAGACAAAGCTTGAAAGAATGGCTTGAGTTATGGGGAAACTCCCTCCCATCAGCTGCAGCGAAGACTGACAATTCATTTAGCTTCTCCACAATAGCTGTATTTTCCTTGAGTGCTCCTTTAGCACCTCAGTCTTCCATTTGAACACTTGCAAATGTTCAAAACTAATTTTTATCATTGGAATTCTTAATGTGAAGAAATATTGGTTGGTCATACCATGTAAAAGGGTGGCTTTGCAAGCTAAAATCTGAAGCAAAATTTAAATCGGGTGTCCCTCTTCATTTTGTACATCGTAACTTAGGTGTGTTTATGCACATGCACGGCCCAATTGACTGGTACTAACATGCCTAAAGCTAAGCATGCATGAAAGGATTAGGGTTCAAATCAGTTTGAAAAATTCTCCAAGCCCTTGAGTAGTAAGATTTAGTATGTTTTGAACTGTTAGCTATTCAATACTGCTGAAAACAGAAGTTTATCATGCAAACCTTAAAAAAAATTAGTGTAATTGACTTATGGTATTTAAATCAACTTCCTTGTTTGAACATAAATAGGTAACAGGGTGGGGGGGAACCAAAAATCACTCCAAAAAAACCCCCTACACATACAAAGTAGCTAAACTTTTTTTGCTGGTTAAGGTGAATAATGTGACATCTTGGATCAACACATTTAGAATACCCTAGCTTTTGGCGTTCACAAGGTCCGATGACCAGGTATTAAACCAAGACCTAGAATGTTCACTAAACCAAGAAATAATTAATACACCAGCTTTTGAGCCAACCCCTGATGATGGTACTACTTGGTTTTTTTGGTTGGTTCGTTGGGTTTTTTGCCTGAAAGCTGATTCAAGTGCCAATCGTAAATTCCTCTGTGAGGGTGAACATGACCCACTCTGCTTAACACTTTTGACCCGCTGAGCCCTGTCCATTGGATCCTATGCACTATATATTACTTATTGATCCAGGAAAGGATTTTTGTGTACCTTTTCCACTTTCAAAGACCAATGCAGCTGTAAACATTTTCTGGGTAATGCAGCATCTTGAAATGATCAATTAGTTAACTAAACCACAAGTTAACCTTCCTGTAGTATTAATTGCTATAACTAAAACATTCTTTGTTTATCTCCTGCATCTGCTTTGTGTTTGAAATTCTTCAGTTTTCCCCACTTTCTCTGTGTCTGATTCTTGGTGTATTTTTCACTAGAAATGCTATTTTCTGTCCAATGAAATGCTAAATTAAGAACACAAGAGACATTTGACTCTTGTTTTAAAAAGTGCCCCAGTATTTCTGTTTTACCATGCAATAGCAATTTTTAAAATACTAATGCAACGTTTTCTCTTTGAAGTGGAAGAACTGACCTCTTCTGGTTCCATAAGCACTGAGTTCTATAATTCCATGTGGGACACTAGTCTCCCAGTGTAGATCTAAAGCAAGGATCTTCACAGTGACTGACTGAAGATACCAGCACAGTATCTATACAATTCAGTATGCAATAGGTATAGCAAAGCTAGGCAGGCAGGACTTCGGAGATTTATAACTGTGTTTACCACAAGTCGCTAATAGGAAAGTGGCTATGACGTTTTGTCATTAGCTGCCAAGTTTCCAAGTGTATTTGAAATTTTTGTGTGTGTGTGTGTGTCAAGGTGGATGATTTAAAAATAATTGAAACCAAAGTTAGGAATTTATGGTAGACCACCACCACAGCCGCAATTTACCCTTTTTAAGAGATGGGGAACAAATATTTAAGTGCTTTTTGTAACTTTTTTTCTACAGTGGTGCATTACTGAATGTCTATTGTATGTTAAATTGTATATGTACTACATGTTTATATTGTCGTATGTAGCACAGTTCTTTTATAGCTAAAGAACAAAACAAAAAAAATAAATGTTATGCTAACACTCAGAACATAGTGTGATTTTTGTTCCTCTTGCCACACATGGGCATATGATTTAAGTAGATGGCTTGCTGGAGACCCTGGGTGGATTTTCTGAAACAGGGCTGTAATTTGGGGGTCTG